AGCCGTCACCACTCAATCATTTCACAAGCTTTAATTGAGTGCCCGCGTGCGAGTGATGATCCCTACACAGGTGAAAGTGAGCCTCCACAAGGACTTATTGGACGACATTGCAGTCACTTTTTTTCAGATGAACCGCCAGACGATGAACAGTGCGGCTTTTGCTATGCTGTTTACGCGCTGACAGGGAAAGGCAATATTCGTCTTCCTCAGTTTGTTCAACAAAAACAGCAGGTCCACGTGTCACTTGCGGGTGGCATTTACCTTTCCAACTTTGGTGATGCTGTTATCCTCGCCCCATATAGGCGCGATTTTGCGACTGTCTTCGGGGTAGATGACAAGGTCGGGATTTCTTTCCTTTTTACTATCACGGGTTCTCCGCAGGCTCCGGAAGGACGTCCCATCCCTGCGTATGACCGTCCATCCAGGGAGGGATCTAAAAAGCCTCTACCACAGTCTGTTGCTCCAGGTTGCAATACCTCTGCACCAGCCTCGGCAGCAGAACCAGCAGCTGCGCGAGCTGACAGTATTTCCCGTAGTATCGGCACAGCGCTTGCTGCCCTCAAAGAAGGCAATAAGCAAGAGGCTTCAAATGGCCACACTGAAAAAGAGGGGGCGCAAAGTGCCGCAGCCCATGCCAAGGGAGATGGAACCACACTGCCACATGCACAGATGCCCCTCAACTTTTTCTGTAGTCGGCCAGCCGAACTTACTGCGCCTCGTCCGGTTACTGAGCCTCTTAAGACTGATCTTGGTAGCAATCAGGACGCCTGTAGGAGCAGCGCTGGTCCCCACACCGGTGCGAATGAAAGTGCTGACGTGACGAACAGCAACGAGCGGTGGAATACTTCCGCTGCCCCAGTTATCTCCAATCACGTCGACCCGCCAAAACAGGTACGCAAGCCGAGTGCCGAGCAGACCGCTTCCAAGGTAAGTGGAGCGCCTCGCATTATCTCTCCGCCACCTCCACAACCGTTGGCAGTTAGAGTCACTGAAGCTGCCCTTCGACACCAGGTTGCGGCTAGACTTGACTCTATTGTGTGCCACCTGACGTGTGCCTTCCGTGATATGGCATTCAATAAGCTATCCAAGGAAGAGCTAACCAAAACACCCAGCAACATCCAAAACGCCTTTATTGCAACCGGTGCTGGGCTCGTGACTCGGGATTGGAGTAAGGAGCTTCGTGAGGGTTTTATTGATGCCCTGTTTTCTTACCACCCGAGTGATCCTACGAGGCTGCATTCAGTTAACGACACAATTGAAAACGCGCTTCCTTTTCTTCAGGGCGTGTCGCAGACTAATTTGGCGTTGAGAATCAAGTCTGAGTGCGCATGTGTTAATCGCATGAGCACGACTGCTGCACTCCGCGTTGCTAAACATGCTTGCTACACTGCCCTGCTAACGGACTTAGAGGCCCATGACGACATTCTCACCAACTTCGATGCTGCTGTTAAGTCGTCAGTCAACCGGATTGTAATGACGGGAGTATGTCAAAGTGCTTGTGACCGTTGTCACATGCAACTTAAACCCGACGGCTTACACTACCCACGGTCCTTTGCTTTTGTTCTGGAGTCCCACAATTCTGCTTACAAAGACGCAGCCTATGACTTGCTAGGGCGCGAACTTATTCTTGACGACCTCAGTAAAATTAAGTTCAGAGTCCAAGCCCTAGTTATTCATTCCCAGCGCCAAAAGCACTATTGTACTCTCGAGTTTGCTGACTGTGGGCTCGCTTATTCTTATGACAATCTGCAAGGCCTTCGGCTTATTTATCGCGACGAACTACCCACGGAGTGCGCTCTCTACGCCAAGGACGCTATCTCATTCGCGCAATGGCAGGAGGAGGCTGGAGTCCAGTCCTCGGTAACGACTGTTGTAGTGCAAGCTGCCACTGCTTCCAGTCGGCGGGTACAACGAACGTACATCAATGCGGCTACTTACCTTGGCCTACCTAAAGCCTCCTCCTCCCTTGCGGTATCAGCCTCCGGTATTGGCTCTCTTGTCGATCGTTTTGTTGCTACTTCTGCTACTACAACAGAACCTTTCAGCGTTAGGCACACTGTTCCTGACCCGGAAGACCCTGACACACCGATGCCTTTTGCAGAGGAGTCGAACATGCAAGACATTATTGATGTTCAGGATTCGGACGACGACACCTCCAAGCCTGACGAACTGTCTCGCAAAAGAAACCCTTCGACAGGCGTTGCTCCAGCCAGTGCTAAAGTCCCTAAGCCTGAATTGCTTGCTGTTGCTGCAACAGAAAGAGGTGTCCGACAGTTGCGAAATACTATCGCTTCTGATTATCGACGTGCAGCCGGGTTCGTCGGACTGACTCGTTCTGCCAAGGAGTTGTCCGGACATGGGCCCCTGAGCCCCGCATCTTATGCAGTCATCTCGCTGTTTGACGGAGCTTGTACAGCAGTCGATATTATTCGTTCCTGCCATAAGCAGCATCCCAGCGCGTTGATTGCTGTAGAACAATGCGATCAGATACGGGCCTTAGTGTCTACCTTGCGCCACTTTGACATTCACGGAGATTGGCAGGAGTGTGGAGGCGGTTACCCGGCTGCTTACCTGAAAGATGTAGCTGACATCCTTGATAGTTCTTGTAAGAAAATCAAGGAAATGCTTCATCTGTGTGAAGCAACACTTGGGTGCATATATGTCGTTGCGGGCTCTCCGTGCCCTGACCTATCGTTCGCTGGTTATAGTAAAGGGCACTTGGGACTCACGGGACCGCGTAGCTCAGCGTTTTACTACGTCTGGGCAACAATCCGCGCGCTACAACTCCTCCTTCCCCCGGCAGTCGCCATTCAGCCAGTCGTCGAGAATGCAGGTTCTATGAAGCCCCTCTTCCAGCAGCACATCACGCTGTGTCTCGGCCTTCCAGCCAGTGCACTTTCAATTGCCGACGCCGCTGATTTTGGCAAAATTGCCTCGCGCAAGCGTGCATTCTTCTCCCGATCCAGTCAACCTGTTACGGGGGTGCAGCGACATCGCATTTACCCACTTGACGCCGGATGGTCTCCTGCTCTTGTAACTGACGACTATGGCCAAGTTTCTCGAGCCACCCTTCCTCCCTTTATGCGGCCTAGGGGAGAGCTGCAGGATGGAGCCCCCACGATTGACAACCGCACTGTACCATCCCCGCTTCCTTTTGTATCAACTCTCCTACTTCGGGGGTTGTGCCAATTTTGAGGCTGCCTGCTGCAATCCTGTGGCATATAAGCAACGCTACCCAGTTCTCCCCTGGGAGACCTTTTTTCCGGCACATCTTCTGGCAAGTTGGACAACCTTTGTCACAGCCGGCAATTCTTGCAATGGCTTCATTGACAAAAGCTTAGAGGATGCCCTGGAGCCACTCTTTGAGTTTCTCCAAACTGCGTCACTTCCGTTTCGTCCTATCAAGCTTCAAGAGATACTTGCCGACCTAGAGCTTCTAGAAGCATTTAGAGTTGTTCCGCGCTCGACTCCATCCAGTCTCATTGCTTCCCTCGCAGGAAACTCTTTTATACCCAGCATCGTGCGTCGGTTTGTTGTCACCGACCTCACTGGTTGCCTGCCGATCACATCAGTACCGTCACCAGATGAGCTTCGCGCTCACTATGAGGCACTGAAGAAGGCAGTGCATGAGCTCATAGACGCCTCTGTCCGCCAAAAGCAGGTCACCCATGAACAGGCACAGGAGTGGAAGCGCGATATTAAGCCCCAGCCCTTAGGGGACGATATCTTAGTGCCGACCTTTTGGCACGGTGTTGAGAATCTCAAGGTCCGTAAACCATCTGTCGGCCACAAGCCGTTTGCCAGTGTTGATTGGGCGCCACTCTCCTATACTGGCTTAGGCGGAAGCGGCTCAGACTTCATTCATGAGCCACCCGAAGCCATACCGCAACTTTTGGCACAACTGATGAGGTTAGGCTCCGGAATCTCTTCCAGTCCTTGGGGGTCCCTCTGGGCACTGCTGCCTATGTTACCACATCACAGATCCTCTCCCAATTCTTTAGATGCAGTACCCTTCGGAAAATATCCGTTGTTGGCTTTTGTGGTACGAGGGCCCGCAAGGTAGAAGACCTTTATGTCAGGTACATATGTTTCATTCTTAACAGCTTGTACCCAGGAGGCTCAAAACTTTCTTAAAACCCGGAGGGTTTAAGGAAAGGGTTTAAGGAATAGGGAATGACAGCAGTACGCACAAGGAGACTTCGTTTTGGTCCGCACAGCCCGACATCACACAGTGCAAATGAAACCTCCTGCATACAGGAGATGACGAGAGGGATTTGCCCCCCCATCCAGATTGGGCTGTTATGAACAGACCATATGAGAAGTAATATACAGGGTGGGCCGGGTGGGACACTAAAAGGACTAAAAGTCCCCTTCCGGTTGATCCAAAATATATCGCCGCGAGATATATCGTTGAACTGACAAGGGGCGAATAGCCCACAATTCAAATACCATAAAATCACTAACAACTGAAATGATGAATCAAAGATTTGGAAAGTACCTCCTTTGAGGAGGAGTGTTAAAAGGTAAAACTTCTTCAAAATCATCCTCACATAAATGTTTCGCAAAAGGGAGAGCTGAAAAGAATCGCGTGAAAAGGAAACTGAAAACTGCAAGCAACTGACATGACTGACATAACTGACATGACTGAGAGCAACTGCATGTAGGCCGTGGACCGAAGCACGATGGCTGAGGCGTACAGAACTGAGAGTGGTCTCAAGCCCCCATTGTTCCCCCCCTCCCCCCCGGGCCTCCTTGGAACAAACTGTTTGGTCCGCTTCGCTACCCAAACTAGGCTTGTACCCAGGAGGCTCAAAACTTTCTTAAAACCCGGAGGGTTTAAGGAAAGGGTTTAAGGAACAGGGAATGACAGCAGTACGCACAAGGAGACTTCGTTTTGGTCCGCACAGCCCGACATCACACAGTGCAAATGAAACCTCCTGCATACAGGAGATGACGAGAGGGATTTGCCCCCTTTCGCAGACGAGGGCATCTCCTTTCCCTCATCCCCACTGACTTTTCTCGAATCTTATTCGAGGAGCTGAGGTTGTTCCATCATCCGCAATCGAGGCCTTGATGGAATCAAGTTCAGACTGAAAGCTCGCGAATCTCAAGAGAGACGGCAGAACTGATAAGGTCATATCTGACCAGCTGAAGGGCAGTCTCAAGTTTTCATCGAAGTCCTCGAAAACATGTTTGGTGATGCGGTCCGCCTCCTGATTGGAGTCCCTGGGTCTCCAGCTGAGATTGCATCTGAAACCCAGAGCGTCACAAAAGGTGACGAACTCCATCACCACAAACATGAGAGGCACTCGAGTCGTGAGCAGCTTGCAAGACAGCGCCTCGGCAGATTTATTATCAGTCCCGCCACAGAAGCTAGCACGGAAGTGTCCAGGGACTGACCAAAGATCCTTGAAGTCACGTCTCAACAAGTGTAGCGCCGCAAGCGAAGCAAGAACCTCAGCCGAAGTGCTCGCCCACGAACTGCCCGAATCCTTCTTGAACAACCAAGGAGCATCGTCCCTGCTCAAAATGACCTGAAACCATGGGGCCTTCTTTGGCTCCGGCCCTTTGTGCAAAAACCATCCGCCCAAGACAACCGAAGAATCATTGCAAGCGGCATCCGTGCGGAAAAGCTCCCCACAGTCCTTCTCAAGACGGCCCGATTCGTAAGTGCGAGCACCGTGCCTCAAGCGGTCAGCGATAAACCTCAAGACACAACGGATAAGATTGGGAAGCGCGAGCACAGCCCCCTTCCTCACAGCAGCCAGCCAAGCGTAACCAGGAGCCAAGAAGGGCCTAATCCAAACTAAGACTGGGACATGAAACCGAGTCTCCCGTGAAGCTCATGAAATCGTCGGACATCCACAAGCCAGCCGTTTCCCTCCATGGATTCGATGCCACTGATGATCCAATGGCACCTCCTTTCAGATATTCCAAGCTTGAAGCGTCCATAATCAATCCAATAACCGACCCAATCAAGCTGCAATCCCCCGTGCCATTTTCGTTCTGAAAAGGGGGTCCCCTGAAGGCAGAGTAGCGCAAGGGACATCCAGAGATTGAGCCAGCGATCGGGTCCCCCACTGAGCACGTGTAGATCATCGGCATAAATGAGCATGAAGAGGAATGCCTGAAGAAGAACTCTGAGGGAAAGCCTGCCCACGAGACCGATGATCCGCGCAAACCAATAAGCCGCTGAAGCAATTCCGAAAGTCCCGGTGCGATTGACCCAGACCACAGAGGAATCGCTCCTCGTTCTGCAGGAGAGCACCCCCCAATGGTCGGGATGGTGCAAGTAGCGTCTGTGCGCCTTTTTTACGTCCCCCACAAGTCCGAAGAGGACTTTCTCATCAGACACGTTGCCCAGCTTTTGGATCGCGGACACTTCCCTAGCCCCTGGCGATTCAAGACGGTCCAGCATAACAATCTCATTGTTGACGTGGACCCCGTGGGTCCCATCATGGACCACACGAAAATCTTGGTCAGGTTTCGGAATCACTGCCTGCGCTGCAATACGAAGTGCCGCCCCCGGATAGCGGGCCCGGGCCTCTGAAAGAGAAAGTGGGAACATACGGCCTTCTGCCTCTTCTTTTGCAAATGCCTCCTCAAGCGATTTTGCAACCTCAGGGCCGTCCCGATAATTATCCATCAGCGGTTGCCAGTCGGACTCATCGTATTTCTGATCCTTTCGACGAGCTCTGAAGACTTGAGGGACCGGCCCCAATGGCGCAGTGTGTCCGACCTCCACACCATTCACGAAGCAGAACTTGCCCTCCTCGATGATGCGGTAGTCGGGATCCTCCAAGATTTTTAGGGTCTGTGCCATTGCCCTCAAGTAGAATGGCTGATGAGGAATCAGCTCCCTTGCTCGTACAGGATCCGGCAGCATGCAGAACCAGTCCTCACGAAGTTTGTCCATTGCCTCCGGAGCGAACAAGGGACCATTCCAATGCCCCGTCGCCAGACGAAAAGTCGCTTTTGCCAGATCAGGCACATTTTCAAGAACAAACTTTCGAACACGATCCTTAAGCTGTTGTGCAAAGGAAGTGGCGGCAGGAGACATGTGGCGACCCCGGCAGATAGGTTTCCAACGCCCCGGCGAGCATCTACCGAAGCCGTCCACAAACTCGTCAGTCGCCCCTGCGAACTCGCCCACCAAGGGCGGTCCCTCACAGCCAGACTTCAGCTCACTATAAGGTAGGTCCTCAATCTCCTTCCCATCGTCGCCAGCATCCCCTGCGGTCGTGGTCTCGCAGTGGCCCCGCTTTCGCTTTCCTGGCAGGTCGAATCCCAAGTCAAGTAAAGCATCCCGGTCCGATTCAACGAGCTGCCCATCGTTCGCAATGGTGTACCCGGCCAGGACCAAGCGACAACCTTCCCAGTCCTCCGTGGAATGCCAGAAATGTGGATCGAAGGTAATCTTGCCGCCGTCCCAGTCCAGGATATGACCCGACAGCCACGAACCACTTATGAAACGACGGACTGAGCCGCCCTCCGACTGAACCCAAAGACCGCCCCCCGAAAACCCTGAACAGGCCAGAAGCAGATTGTCAAAAGGTCCGTTCGTGGTGTCCCGATGCGGCGGTTGCTTAAGATCACGAAAGAATGCTAAAGAAGTAAAGGGTCGGCCAGGGAAGCCACACGAGAGCAGCTTGGCCAAAAGCTCTGAAGACAAAGGAAAGCTCCTCGTGTTGCGCCTGATGCCAACCTTGTCAGAGTGAACAAAGGCTCCTGCAGTGAACGATCGCTGACCTTCGATCACCCTAGAAGTCTGTCGAACTCTGTCTTCATCCGGCAGCAATTCAGAGATGCGCAGAAGTTGCCCGTGCGAAATTGTCCCACTCCTCAAGCATTCTGCAGCAAGTCGCTCCGCAGGGGAAGCGCCCGAGCCAGCCTCCACTTCCCTCGCTGGAAACTGAAAACCCGGTCCCAGCACCTGTGTAGGAGCCAATGCAGCCAGTGTTCCCCCCCCATCGAAGACGGAGAAACACCACTCGGCAATAGTGCGGCACAAATCGTCAGGGTAAGCCGCGGCCGACGAAGTAGCCGCCGACCCGAGCAGCTTTTGCTGATGTCGATGACCACAATACTTCGGCAAGGGGCCGAGGTATCGATCTGAATCGTCGAACCGAGGAGGCCCAGTGAAGGGCATTCTCGAAGTAACTGGTATAGAAGAAAGAAAACGTGTAGGCTTGGGCGAAAACGCCCCATATTGACATTGGTAAACTGCGAAAGTGATGACATGCTCATGCTTGAAGAGAGCAACGGCCTCCGGCAGCTGCCAAATGGAAGCCGGAGAATGACCGCTGGAAGTGAGTCCCAAATCTTCAGGATGCTCAAGCAGAAAAGGTACTGAATTCGAAAGCGCATTTGTGCAGATGTCAAAGGCAAAAGAAACAAGCTGGTTGCCATGTTCAACAAGAGCTCGGTGAGAATCGGACAGCCAAGGAAAGCCCCGAGGATAAAGACGTGAGCGCAGTGGCCGAGGACCCGGCTGTACACACCGAGCCCGCGAAAAGGTCCCACAGGGTGGGGTCACCAACACCACATCCCACTCAGAATTCTTAACCTCCTGCAAACATCGATCGGCGATGGCAGGATCCAAAAGGTCTAGCTTGGGATCGCGGCAGATGTCAATTTCGGACATTACCAAAGTGATACTCTGTGCCTTGCAAAGCGCCTCCAGGGAGCCACGAACATCCGATTTGCGAGACGGACCTGAAAACAGATACAGCACGCGAAGCGTAGGACGTATCCCTGAAGTACAATCGCCAACTGAATTCAACGGACCACGGCGAAGTCAGGAACCACCTTGTGCGCCGTGTTGATATGCTGGATGATTGCCCTGGCAGCCCTTCACGCGACACGCGTGGACGCGCTGGCATCCCTTGACCTGACATCCACGCTTGATATTGTAGGCATAACAAAGCTCGCGACCATCCGGAGTCTTGGCCACCAAATCGTACCAGGACTCCCCGACCTGAATCTTGCCAGTGGACTTGCCCCCTTTGCCGTCCTTGCCACCTTTGCCGTCCTTGCCGCCTTTTTCCCCTTTGCCGTCCTTGCCCTTGCGGGGCCACTTTGGAGGGGGAGGATCATGAGCGGCCGAACGTTTTGACAAGGCGACCTGAGAGGTGAAGTGGAGCTCCTTGAGCTCGGTATTCCGAGTGGCCTCATACAACTTGTCACCGAGCGGGGTACCTTCGCGATGGGCCTCCTTGATAGCCCACTTACGAAGCTCAAACTCGTACTGAAGCAGGACATTCCAAGGCACAGACAGTGCCTGTTTCTCCGCATGAGAAGAGCTTGCGGGAGCAGTGGAAGCCACTTGCATGCTGTAACACTTGTCACCCAACAGGAACTCAAGGAAACGATCAAAGTGTGACAGCTGCAGCCCCTGCAAATATGCACGACCGCGACACTTGGCTGAGAGCATGACCCAAGTGGAGGCCTCGAGGCGAAGCTTCGCCCGCAGTTCCTCCGTATTCTGCGGAAGGCGACCCTTTGGCTTCTGTCGCATGACCCGAAGCCGGCCCTGATTGTCCAAGGAAGTCTGAAGTTGCAGCGAGTTGGACTCTTTTCGAGAAATAACTTCATCAAGATAGCTGGCAGTGGGCTCGCCATTCTCAATCTGTTCAAGCTTGTGTGCCAAGTACTCAGGCGCCGGCTCCTCGGACTCCGGCACGGTGTAGCCTCGAACAGCTTCCAGGGCGACCCGCATGGCCGCGCGATCCGAAGAGGCGAGTGGCTTCTGAACACCCAAAACCTTAGCCTCAGCACGAAGCTTAGCCTCCTCCTCACGAATCATCTTGGAAGCTTCCCACGCAGTGATGATGCATGCCATCCTAGCCCGATCCGCCGCGCTCTCAGGCCTGATAGCGAAATCGGCTGTAATCGCAGTACGAGCTGCACCACGATCATCAGCGAAAGCAGCAAAAGTGCGAATGCTCTTGTAATGTTGACCGATAGCAAACTGAAGTGCAAGTTCGACCCCGTGTTCCTCAAGCAGGAACACAAAGTCTGCATCCACATTAGCCTGCAAGTACGCCCGCTGCGCAGCTGGGTCCGCGGCCATGACGCTTCACTACCGCGGATCTAACATCAAGTCACCTAAAAGACTGACAGAATGCACTGAAGCTGAAGACTGAAACCCCGAAGGGGGAGCTGAAAGTGAAGCAAGCTTCGCCGATCTGAGAGTTGCCACATCGTGACACACATGTTCTGATATCTGAAAAGGGAACCTTGAGCATACTGCCGGCATCCCACAGAATTTGCGCGAAGTTGCGACAGAGCTGAAATCACTCACGCATGGACTGATAGTGCACTGAAAGTTGCACGCAGAGCGCACTCCCATCTTTGTTCACACATACTTCCAACGAGTTGCATCACGTGTGAAAAGACGGGTCAGCCACCTCGAGCGGCTCTGCTGGCTCACCCAAGTCCGTGGAGGAAGACTCCCCCGAACTCGAAGATGAGCTCTCCTTATCACGATAGCATAATTTGCAGAAGCTGTCGGCCACTGAGGAGTCAACCTTCCACACCTCAGCGAAACGGTGACAGCTACCGGGAGTGACCCAGCAGCCATTCCGTATGTGCAGCCGCCTGTGCCCTGAGTGCCTGCTGATGCTCACCCAGAAAGGAGACTCTCCAGAATCTTGTGAAGAGTTTGAAATCAACGGGGCCGGGGCAGCGTCGTCCGACCTCTCGGTGATGTCATGAAGCAGCGGCCATCTCTGATTCAAAACCTTGCATCCATCCACGGTGCGCATCACGGAGTGAAGCTTAAGCCAAGGTTCAGGGTCCAAGCCTCTCTTCTGAAGCCAGGCCCTAAGCTCATCAAACAACTCCTCCTCATCGTAGCCAGGTTTGCCGCCCGAAAGTTTGTCACAAACCCGACGCTGCAAATCATGCACGATCTGGCGACATGCGTGTATGTAATCCGCACTCTGGTGCAGACCAACATGCCACCTGCCAAGGTAATCCCTCTGCTCCTTTGGAACACCAAGCACCGCTGCAATCGTTGGCAAAACATGTCTCATACTGTGACCTGTCCAGAAAAGATAGCACTCATCACCCAGCAGCTTCCCCTCAGCCCTGGATCTCCAAACACCTTCACCAAGCTTCCTGAAAGGGACCAAAAGTTGGCCCCAAATAAGACGCATGTAATTGCTAATAACCTCCGGCTTGGCGAATTTGTAAGACGGCTCCTCAAAATCTTCAGAAGACTGGAAAACCAAATAAGTGCGATCAAGCTGTCCCAGGCCTTTCCACAAATCAAATCCAATGCCCAACCAATCACGTCCTGAAAGCCCGACACACCTGCCTATAAAGAAAGGAACTTCGGCCACCTTCTTATCAGGTCCTGTCGTCTTGGTCTTCACCAAAAAACCTTTAAGCCCCTCACGAAAAAGCCTAAGGCGAGAAACGTCAATTCCTTGCAGATCAGAGACACGCATACAAGCCCATACGCAAACGAAGCAAGCCCACATCAGGCACCGAGCATAATGAGGGTTCGAACCAGTCACCACAAAAATCTCCAAGGATAATAACATCGCCACTGAAAGGGGAGCTGCCTGCTTCCTGCTGGTTTTCCCCTCCTGCACTTCAGCTCCGGCGCTCTTTGAGGCAGCGACGACCAATCGATTCTTGCACAGCTGATTTGCCAAGGGAACCTGTCCAGCATCCTCAAGAACAGACAAAGCGCTCATAAGCTCCGAAATGCAGCTCTTCGTACCCACCTCCTGCTCCAAGAAGATGAGGTAATCTACAACATCAGAAGGACGCTTCGGGAAAGGGTAACCTTTCACTGAGAGCATCCAATCACGAGCCTTGCGCCAAGTCCTCGCACGATTCCTGAGTGTCTTGGACCTCCGAGCTCCCAAGGCTCGAAGTGCGTAAGATACACGCTGCTCCTCATTTTCAACAGGGACCTCAACGATAGGAAGCTTTGCCTCCACCATGATCTGAACCAAAACAGTTCCCCAGAATTTCTTAGAAGATTTCTCTGCATCCGCCGGGGTCCCGGCGCCATTCGAAATCCATCTAGCATGCGCCCGACTGGTCTGCTTGCAAAGATCAAGACTATTACTCACGCACTGATCAAAGATATCACAAGGGGACACAGAATTTCCAGGGGTCGCCTCGATACGTGTGGCCTTCGCAGTAAGCCTGCTTTGCACCCGCTTGAACAGACCTGTGTGAGCAGTCAACCACTCCCAAATCTGAGATCCCAACCGCTTGTGATCCGAAGGGACCGAACTCGGAGTGATCTGCTCTGCCAACCGCACAGCATCTTCCACACTATCCACTGCACATGCCAGGTGCCAAGGAGTTTGAAAATGGATGCGAAGCACACTCACAGCACTGCAGCCCTTCTCTTCAAGAAGGCCCCACAGCCTATCTTCCATTGCGCGAAGAAGCCTGAAAGGCGCCCCCCAGACACTAAAAGGACTAAAAGTCCCCTTCCGGTTGATCCAAAATATATCGGCGCGAGATATATCGTTGAACTGACAAGGGGCGAATAGCCCACAATTCAAACACCATAAAATCACTAACAACTGAAATGATGAATCAAAGATTTGGAAAGTACCTCCTTTGAGGAGGAGTGTTAAAAGGTAAAACTTCTTCAAAATCATCCTCACATAAATGTTTCGCAAAAGGGAGAGCTGAAAAGAATCGCGTGAAAAGGAAACTGAAAACTGCAAGCAACTGACATGACTGACATAACTGACATGACTGAGAGCAACTGCATGTAGGCCGTGGACCGAAGCACGATGGCTGAGGCGTACAGAACTGAGAGTGGTCTCAAGCCCCCATTGTTCCCCCCCTCCCCCCCGGGCCTCCTTGGAACAAACTGTTTGGTCCGCTTCGCTACCCAAACTAGGCATTCCGAGCGCCCTGGATGGCCGCCTTATAGTCTTCCTTCATCTTGTCGATGATAAGCTTGCTTCTTGGGCCTTCAAGCCTGAAGCTGCCCCTGTGCACACAATTTGCTTCGTTGCCATCCCGCCTGCTTTAACTGGCGCCATTTGGTTTCAGGCCGAGGTTGACAAGGGGTCCATCACAGATAAAGTGTTGCCCCTCCTCAGCTCTCCTGCCTTTCCCCATCTCAAGCTACCTACTGGTGACTTTGAGGTCCTTGCCGCATACCTGCAAGCAGATCATGCAGCTGTCCTTCTTTTTAATTGCGCTACTTTAGAGGTTGCATGCGCTTTGAGCAGCTCTGGTGGACCACTTTCTGTTCTTGGTCACTTTTCCTCAGTTCAGGCGATACTTCTCGCATTGCTTCCAATATTAGGCAACGCGTTCATCCCTGAGGATTTGTGGTCTCGGGAAATCGACTTTTCCCACATCGAGCCGAGCATGGGGTCCTCAGTGTCGTTTCGACTCTGCTAAACGGCTGTACTGGCCAGCCTCCTGGTGTTTGTGCGTATGAAGTTGAATGGGCCGCTCACCAACCTGCAGCTTTGACTCCTATTGTCTGGCTACCAGACTGCCTTGATGCCAAGTCCCGTACACACACCGCGTTGATTAAGCTTGCTCCTGCAGCTGAGAATGAAGCAGCGATAATGGTCGTTCCCGGCTACGTGCCGCAGCCAGCCGCGTGTATTGCTCTCAAAGGAGGATGACGATTGCGACATCATCCCTTATACACCCTCTTGTGAGGGCTTCTCTCCTTCGTTGCTTCCAATTCTTAGCTACACAGCAAGCCCATACCAAGCGGTGTCGTGTACGGTCATTAAACTTGATTTGGCATCTACAAGGCGTCCCAGTAACTTTTCCAACGCTTGCGGCCCTTAGGGCAGCCCTACATTTCACTAATGCCCCTCCCGCTGTGTCCCAGGCGTCTGTCACTCAGTGCTTGGATACTCTTCTGGACAGTTGGAAGACCGGCTTGCGGCCTCACCAAAGCGACCTTCAGGAACCTGGCCCCCTGCTTACTCTTGTTCTAGGCTACCCGCCACAACCAGGGGACCCGGTTTCCTTTCAGGAAGCACTCGGGGGGGCAATACTTGCCCTGGCCCAGCAGATCGTTTCGACTAAGCTATCGCCGGACCCTACTAAAGGTATTGGACTGTCCATGCAAATATCTACCTGGAATGTCTCCAGTTATAAGGTCTGGACGAGCACTTCGGCGGTGTGTAAGACCGCAACGATCCTTAGCCTTTTACGAAAGGGTCCTGTGTGTCTGCAGGAAACTAACTGGGATGCAGGTGGTCCGGTCGCTGCTGCACATACTTTTCCACGCGCGGCTATTGCATCTTCGCCGGCTATCTCGACCTCAGTTAGCTCTGGTGTGGCTATTTTAGTTCCAGCTCCATTCACCCTCACTTCGCAGACCGAAATCCTACCTGGTTTGGTCCTTTCGGCGACAGTTCAACATTTCGCCCATCGCTGTGAGATCGTCTGTGTCTATGCTCACCCAGACAAGCTTGCTGAAGTTGGCCGTGCGTTGATCTCGCACTTGACGACCAGACCCCACCGAGATGAACTCTTTGTGGTAGGCGATTTCAACCGCATGGCTGAAAAGCAGCCAGGGTTATGGGAGCTGTTCTGTGCGGAGGGTCTCTTGCGCCGAGTCTCCGGGGGCACTCCGACTTACCGTTCTGGTAATGTGTCATCTTGCCTAGACGTAATTTTGCATAACGAGGAAGCAGAAAGCTGCCGCCGCCTTAGGAGCCGGGTCTTTTGGCCTCAGGCACTCCCACAAGGCCACGGAGTGGTGACTTTGCGTGTAAGCAAGGCGCGCATGCTTTCCAATGATGTTGGAGCCACCACCTATCGAGCCATACCCACACGTGCCTTTAAGCAACAGGCATATGCTCCCTCCACCCGCATCCCGGCACACTCGTCTCATCCAGCTAAAGTGCTTTGGAAAGGCTTAAAGTCCTTCTTCCAACCTCACCCACATTGCAAGACCTACAAGGTCTTTTTCATGTGTGGTGGGCCGGTGAACTTGAGCACACTGCTGGCGCGGTTTCAGAAGGGAAATATGGTGCCCTTCCATACTTGTTGAAGCGACAACGCAATCGTCCGCATGCATCTTCCTACACCGTCCCGTGGGTCGTCTTTGAA